CTCAGGATTCAAAATTTGGCACACATGTTCCTTAATGTATTAGCTATAAAATAAAATTTATCTGACATCTTTAGCTATATTAGAAGTTACGCAATAACGATATTTATAATATATGTCACCTAGGGGTAAAGCTGTTATGGGTAAAACGGTTAAAATATAAAATTATTCACATTAATTTTTCATTAATTCATTTATTATAATTTTTATTGTACCAATCAAATAATGAGAAATTATAAAAGAAAAACCATATACAGAGATGTAAATATAATAAATGAAGCCATAAAATATAAAATAACAAATAATACTTCATTAAATTTGTCTGCTAAAAAATTTAACATACCTTATACAACGTTGAGAAGGAGATGTAAAATTGGTATTAAAAGTTCAGATCATCATAAACAAATATTTACAAATGAAGAAGAATCTAGATTGTGTGACTACATATTAGAAGCAAGTAGGTCATTTATGGGATTAACGCCTAAACAAGTAATTAAATTATATTGTTTGTATTATATTGTATTTCATAATTTTAATAACTCAATTTAAATATCAATATTAATTTGGTAACTTTAATAAAAATGCTCAATTGAAATTATATTGTATATCATAAATTTAATAATGCTCAATCTAAATATCAATATTAATTTGGTAAATTTAATAAAAATGCTCAATTGAAATTATATTGTATTTCATAATTTTAATAATGCTCAATCTAAATATTATTAATTTGGTAACTTTAATAAAAATGCTCAATTGAAATTATATTGTATTTCATAATTTTAATAATGCTCAATCTAAAAATCATGTGGGGCAACAATTTCAGATTTATGATATTCCAGGAGTGTTAAAAAATGAAATACCAAGGGCAGTGACATCAAATAATATATTAAATGGTTCTTAGCATGTGGCATATTTCCTTTAAACCCAAAGATATTTACAGAACAAGATTATATCTGCTGTAATAATTCAAATGCTAACTCAAATATTGAATTTGAAAATAATGATGAAAATATTAGAGTGACTCAAAATCTTACAGTGACTCAAAATAATGATAGTGATTTATCTATATTATTGAACGAAAATGTTCCAGATGATATTGATGAACCTTATCATGATATGTTACCATCATGCTCAAAAAATTATAATAAAGTATTCAATCCTTCATCTATAATACCTATTCCAAAATTATTCAATATTTCATCGGATAAAATATCTAAAAAAAAGAATTCAGAAATATTAACATCTACACCTTATAAAAAAAAATTATTAATTCAGAGAAAAAAAAAAGATATCAAAAAATAATTGTTTATGTGTTATTTGTAATAAACTATAAAAATAGTCGGGAGGGCGATGAATGGCTAAAATGTACAATGTGCCTTGAATGGGCACATTCTAAATGTGCTAATTATGATAATTATTTTACATGTCCTTATTGTATCGATTAGTTTTTAAATAAAAATCATAAATAAATGTTAAATTTGTAATATTTGCTAAATAAAACAATAAATATGTGTCAAATATTATTTTAACCACTTTACCCTAGTGCTTATCCATTTTACCCTGTACCCAGGGTAAAATGGCGAAAATGAGTAGTTTTACATAACTAATCATAGCTCCTAAAATATTATAGGTAGAGGGCTACACTTTTTTTTTATCTTGTAGAAGAGAGATGGGGCTACACATTGATCTATAATTTGTTGTGTTTGACTCTTGTTTAAAATTTTTATGCTAAATATGCAAAATGCTATCGTTTTACCCCGGTCTCCCCTAAGCATCTTTTAACAGAAAATATGGTATACATTAAAATTATTCTTGTATTTTTAAAATTTAAGATTTGTTTGTATCTTATGACATAATAATTATTTTTTTGAGATAAATCAGAATTGGGTCAGTATGAAATTGAGATTTATCAAAATCTCATTTAGAACATTTCTCTTTTTGCCCCCATGAGAGTGTTGAAGAGTTAAACTCTAAGGCTGTGCCTCATTCAACTAAAACTGCTGGCTTTGACTAAACAAGTCTAAAAAGTAAAAATTAAAAAAAACAATGTTACCAAAAACTAAAAATAAGCCAAAATAAAGTGTCCTAGTTCAAAGGATGTAAAAGTATAGGCCAAACCAAACAGAAATAAGTGACAAATAAGTCAGACCTGGACATGGCCAAAACACTTAACCCTGTATTGCATACTGTGTATCTCAAGCCACATACCACAAATTATATAATAAATATTTTATAAATAAATTTTAAATCAATTGCATGGTGTGTATTTGAAGCCATATTCTATATCTTCGATTGGAATTTTAATTTGGGCCACGTGATCTATTATATATTTTTAATTTCGCATTTTATTAAACCCTATTTTTAAAAATGGCTATTTTTTTATAAAATTTTTCTTCTCAATTTTCTACACATCGTAAAAGGATAAATAATATATTTGACAAATTTCAAAACATTAAAATTAGATAAATAAAAGGTAAAAATTAATGTTTATGAAATTATTTTATATATATTTATTATTTTTGATAATTATATTTTGTAATAATCATACGTTGCTTTAAAGACACATTATGCAAATAAGGTATTTTATTTGAGTTTTATATTTTTAGAATTATGAATTGTGGTACCATACCTAATGATAGTGAAGATTCAAATTTAAGTGAATCGTCTGATGAGGAAGTTTCTGTCAACCCAAAATAATGATTTAGGTATATTTAAAATGTATGCTCTTATATAATCTATAAATATCTAGATTTCAATGAGAGTGATGAATCGGAAGAGGATGAAAATATAAATAATGAAAAAGGAATCGTGAGAAAAATGATTTGGAAAAATTGCTTAACTAATTTACCGTTAGTTATTCCAAAGTGGAAAGGAGAAAACCCAACGGTTGATAAAGTAAAAAAACCAATGGATTATTATAATACATATCTCAATGATTTATTACCTCTAATTGTTTACGAATCAAATTTATATGCAATTCAATATAATTCCAACAAACCTTTGAATTTATCGATAGATGAATTAGAAAAATTTATAGGAATTATTTTTTACATGTCAATTATTAAACTTCCCAGAGCACGTCTCTACTGGGCCACCAATACAAGACAGGCCAAGGTGGCAGATGTCATGACCCTAAATCGCTGGGAACAAATCAAATCATTCATTCATATAAATGATAATGACAAATTTATTCCACTTGGAAGTGAGGGCCATGACCCACTTCATAAAATTAGACCCTTGATAACTATAACCAATAATATACTAAAATCTTTATCGATAGGGGAAAATATTTGCGTAGATGAGCAAATAATTCCATACAAAGGGATGAGCAGATTAAAGCAATATAACCCCCAAAAGCCCAAAAAATGGGGCTATAAAGTCTTTCTACTATGCGGAGATGATGGCCTTCTCCATAATTTTGAAGTATACTCTGGGAAAATACTACCAGCGGAAGGATTGCCTGATGTTGGAGCAAGTGGCAATGCTGTGCTACGTTTAATTTCTTATATACCACAGCAAATTAATTATAAATTATTTTTTGATAACTGGTTTTGTTCACCAAACTTGCAAGTCGTACTCGCTCAAAGAGGGATATTTTGCGCGGCCACGGTCAGAGGTAATCGACTACCAAATATCAACTTCCCAACAGATAAGGAGTTGAAAAAAAAAGGACGAGGATTTTTTGTTTCAAAAAAAACAATAATAAACGGGGTTGAGTTAAATTCAGTGAAGTGGCACGACAATCGTGCTGTGACCTTATTGAGCACTTTTGTAGGTGCACATCCTCTTATCGATTGCGAAAGATATGATAGAAAAAAAAGGATAAAATAATGATAAAATGTCCAAACATTGTTAAAGTTTATAATAAATCAATGGGAGGTGTAGATCTTATGGATTCTTTACTTTCATTATATAGAATTCATACCAAATCAAGAAAATGGTACCATCGAATTTTATTTCATGTATTCGACATGTTACTTATAAATTCTTGGTTGCTATACAAACGGGATTATAATAGTATATCAATAGCAGGCAAGGATCGATTAAGTTTGTACAATTTCAAAATTTCGGTGGCGGAAGTCCTTTGCAAATATGGCAAATGCACTTCAAACAATATTCCAAAACGAAAATCAGTTCAAACTGGTTATCGGGAAAAATGTAAAAAAGGACCAGCTCAATATTTACCACTTCAAGAGGTTAGGAAAGACCTCACGGCTCACTGGCCCAAATATAATGATAAGAAGGGTAGATGTAAAATGCCAGGATGCATATTTATAACAAAAGTATCTTGCAAAAAATGTGGTGTATATTTATGTTTTACGCCCACAAATAATTGTTTTATAGATTTTCATGAAAATTAAAATGTTCAAACCTTTAATATTTGTTGTATTTAAATAAAATTATATATATTTATAGTTTAAAGTACAATAAAAATTATTGTGGAAATAATTGGAAATTTGTATCCTTAATTGCATAATGTGTATTTAAATCCACATACCGTTCATCTTCTAAGAAATTTAGAATTTTTTTTAAAAAAGTGAGCCATGAGATTATCAATAGTATCTGAGAGAAATAAAAAATCTAGTTTGCCAAAAAAAATTATTCTAACATAGTACATGCAATACAGGGTTAAAAAAAACTAATAAAAAAATGAGTTGGCTTCTTTTGGGCCGATAAACATTTATTAAAATCAGAAACCTGCAGGCTATGAAACCCAGCATGGAACTAGCCAAAAACTGGTATGATTTTCAAAATTTAGACCAGGATTAAAAATTTTATTTAAAAAAAAATAATTAAATTTAATTTGCGACCTTAAAATAAATGGCAAAATACTGCCCAAAATTATTCTGAATGCCAAATTACATAAATCCCGGACCAAGCTTAAATTCCTCCAAAATCTGGGTGTAAAATTTTTTGACCTTAAAGGAAAGGAAAGTAGATTTCTGAATGAATTATATAAATTCAAAAATGTTATTTAAAAAAAATTAATTTAATCATAGGACTTGACCCATCAGAACGCTTGGTGTTGCAAAACAAAGCCATAAATATCATAATGAGCATTTTGTATGAAAATGATGATATACATTACTATCAAGGTTATCATGATATAGCTATAACAATTATTCTTGTGCTAACGGAAGAAAAGCCATCATTATTTATCTTGAAGCAAATCACTCCCAAATTTTTGAAGTAATTGAAAGATATTGAGAATTTCTAGGATTACTGTTTGGTTGTCACAATAACTCAATATTTAATAAAATTATAATTATAAAAAACTAAATTAATTTCAAATTAATTTCTTCCAAAACTATTCAAGAGATTTCACTGGTCCTACAGGTTCTTCGGGCTTAGAATTTGCCTTGTCCTACACTTATCCCATAATAGCTTGTTCAAACCCACGCCTTGCTCTTTTTTTGGAGAATAAAATGGACCTAAACCCGCCTCTGTTCTGTCTGCCCCAAATGATTACTTGGTTTGCCCGGGCATCCCACACTGCTTCATGCAATAACGTTAATCATAGGCAGATATACCCCAATCAAGCAGTGGCTTCTCGCGTTTTCGAAGTATTCGTGGCTACCCGAGATCCTAGGGCTCCTCTTTACCTATGTGCTGCTCAGTTGATATCTTCGCCAAAAATCAAAGATTTTTTAACCCATGAAGCAATGGTTAATACTTATTTTAAAACTGAGATATATCGTTAAAATTTTCCGAACCGTTATAAAAAAAATATCCCCAAAATATAAAAATGAACCGTTATAAATAGGTTAGATCAAACTGGTTGATACCGATTTTTTAAATTATTTTTTTTATAGGATAAGCATGATTTATAATATTTAAAAAAACTAAGTGAAAAACTCGCTCACCTCCACGGGGTCTAACCTGGAAACGTCGGCCTCGGTCGGCGGCTAAGAAGCGAGCTTGGATAACTTGCCCACTTCCACGGGGTCCTACCTGCAAAGGTGGGCCACGATCGGCGGATAAGAAGCGAGCCATGATAGATTAATTAATAACAAGGCCTAGTTTTTTACGGTTAGCTAGGTCCCGAGATAGAAAGAAACCCACTGCGTCTTGCAAGCCGGTGGGTAACCGAACAAATTGCTCTCTTCCATTTATGAAAGTACAACAAGATATGATAGAAAACATGATTAAAGTTGCAAATGAAATTAATATTAGTGAAATTAATCACAAAAATACGAATCGAATAATTTATTATTCGTATTCGTATGAATAATAAAATGATTATTCGATTCGATTAGTCGAATATTCGATTCGATTCGATTCGAAAATTTTATTTACCATGAATTAAAAAAGATCTATTATAAAATTTATTTTGTAAAATTTAACTAAGGATAAAGACAAAACAAATTTTATTAGTGAGACAAAATAGAAGCATACATATAAAATATTTATATACAATGTGGAAAAATCAATATAATATTCATATCTATAATGTAGAAGATAAATCTGACAACAGCCACTTTTTCAAACATAAAGTTTTTCGGATTGTTTCCTCCTTTAACGACATTCTGTATTTTGTAACCATATGAGCTCCAACAGAAAAGAGTCGCTCACATGGGTTGAAGATCCCTGTATCGACAATATGTCCCTCGCCATTTTAGATAACACGGCATTAGCAATATTTTACAAATAAAGTGGTAAAAACTTTAGGCAAAAAGTCAAATTTTATGATTTCTCCATCATCAAATGAAAGAGAAATATCAGGTTTGCCCGTCATTCTTGATGTGATGGGATTAACAGTTTATTATAATTGTATATGTTATGTGTTATATAAATTACCTTCTTCGTCCATTTCTATCATAAAAGAAATTTCTAAAGTAATGGTCTATTATGAGATAAATTAAAATGGAGTTTCAAAATTTGGCGCAATTTTCATTTTTCCACTAGGAGATTTTATTAAATTGAAATAATTTCAAATAATTCCTAATAATAATATATGATTTAGTATGATTATTTTCCAATATATATTAATACTATAAATTATTTTAGTCGAATAATCTCGAATAATTCGATCGAATAATAGATAAAAAATTATTCAACGAATAATATATTTTTATTCGAATTCGATTCGAAATTCGAATTTTCGAATACGAATAACGAATATCGAATAACAAATTCGTTTTAGGTATAAGTGAAATGATACCAACACCGAAGCCTGGCGGAAGGAACGGCCCGAACAAAGCCGTTGTAAAGATATGTTCGTGGAACGTGAGAGGGGTGAATAACTCTCTACGTCTTCTCGACCTAGTCTTCGAGGCGCAGCGCCAGGGCGTCAGCGTCTTATGTCTCCAAGAGACATACATTGAAGGAAATCAGGTGGCGGAAGCATGGGGGTGGTTTTCGGGTTTGGACCCCTCCCCAGAGCAAAATTTTTTTGGAGATTATACGTTCAAAAGACTTAGAAGTGATTTTATATGAATTATATTTTTCTAGTTTTGATGTTTGTGGAAGGATATTATATTACTATTGAAATTATTCTGGATAGTATTATTATAAAGTCATTGAGAATAATCTACTAAATTATAATAACATATTATTGATGCATTTAAAAAATATATTTATTATATATTATCGAAGATATGGTTATGATTTGTTATGTATGGACTTCTAAGGAAAATTCCTAGCTACGCCACTGAAGGAAATGTAGTTAGCGATATGGAAAGCCATATCCTCTATAACTCTGGTAGTAATGAAGGAGCTGGTAGGAAGGAGGGCGTTGGTTTTCTCGTGGAGAAACGTAAGGAGGCGGAAGTGACGTTCACTCCCGTCTCACCACGCGTAGCAAGTATAGCAGTAAGCCTTTTGACTCGCTGGTCAAGCTATACTCCGTGTATGCCCCTGTTAATGACGCGGAGAGTGAAAAAAAGGATGAATTTTATAACTCTCTGTCGAAACTCCTAGGGGCAGACACGCGTCCGCATGTCGTAGCAGGCGATTTCAATTCGCACATCGGACACGATATCTTCGGTAGTGCTATGTTGATGGAGTCTACGAAATTGTTTGGGGTTCATACGGTACGGAAAAAGCGGCCGACGACGGATAACGGCGCGCGAATGGTCAATCTCTGCCGGAAGTTTTCACTGCGCGTCGAGGCGTCTTTCTATAAACGGAAGGCGTCACAAAAGACAACGTGGACGCATCCTAAAGGATGTTTTCATCCTAGACCACTTCCTTATTCCAACCCGGCTTGCCAAATGGGTACAAAATGTCAAGTCGGTTAACTTTTCTGGCTTTCATAGTGACCACAAACTGGTTGTCTGTACTATTAAAGGCGACCAGGCAAATTTTGGTTCTATGAAGCTTGCCAGGAAACCGGAACGCGTCGTTTGTCCAGCTAAGTCGGCGCCGAGATACCGTACCGAAGAACTTAGAAATTTCGTTAACGACAAAGAGACATTGAGCAAGTATCAGAGTCTGATTCGGACATCGCTACCATTAGACGAAGATACCTATACTACGGAAGAGAGGTGTCTTGATTTAAAGAAGAAAATTCGCTCGGCCTACCGCATGGTGAGAAAGCTGCTGTGTGGCAAAAGTAAGTGCTGGATGGTTCCTCGCTGGTGAGCTAAGACCGATGATTTCTTTGAAAAATCGGTTAAGGCATAGCGCAGCCGAGGGCGGGAAGCGAGAAGACTTGGTGGCCTATCGAAAACTAGACAAGGAGAAAAAGGTAGCACAGCGCCAAAAAGGAGATTGGCTTTCGAAACAGTCCACCTCTATCAACGGAATGCTAGATCGCAATGATCTTTGGGAGGCGAAGCGCGCTATCTCGACTCTCCTAGAAAAGTGTAACAGATGGGGCCAGTATCAAACAAAAGATCGAATGTCTAACGGTGTGGATGTGGAAAAATTAAGGCAACATTACTCCGCTGTATACCTTACGAAAAACGAAAACGCCTTCTTCGAAGTGGACGTCCTAATCAAACAGACTTTCTACGAGTTTGATGAACCGTTTACGATGGAGGAGATTGCCTCGTCAATAATGAGTATGGATTACGGAAAGGCTGTCGGTACGGATGGCATTCCCATCGAACTATATGTGGCAGGTGGAGTCCATATGTACAGCGTAGTACAGAGAAACCAAACGCATATGGGATAGCGGATCCCGGGAAAGAATCCTGTCAGACTGGACGATAGCAAACGTCTGTGCTATCTACAAGGGTAAAGGGTCCATAACTGAGCCTAGCTCATATCGCCCGATATCATTGTTAAATGTCGACGGATACCGGAGCTATTGCCGCGAGGCTAAGACATGTCGTAGAGCAGCAAGTAGCCAGCACACAATTCGGATTTTGGTCAAAAAGAAGCACTTCGGACTTGATCCACATTATTAGGAAGGATTCAGGAGGAGTGTCGAATTGCGGGACCGAATGTCATTCTCACTGTTTGTCGATATAGAGAAAGTGTTTGATAGCGTCCCTTTTAAAGCTCTTCTCGATGTTCTGAAGATTTATAGTTGCCCTCCTCGCTTGGTAGCCATAATCAAAGAACTTCATGAGGGAAACACGGCCCGGGTCTCTCGCTTCAGCAAGACCTCGGAACCCTTTAACGTCCTCAGGGGAGTCCGACAGGGGTGCAGGATAGCGCCGTACCTATTTTTGATATTCATGGACGCTTGTCTAAAGGCCTTGGATCAAAATCCTCGGTGTATAGGTAGTGGGTTGCGGTTAATGCCTCGAGTGGGAACAGTTAGTCGGTTAACGCCGGCTATTAAACATGACGTCGATATAAGACATCTGAAATATGCTGATGATGTCGTCTTTTTTGGCAACGACGTCGCGGTTTACACTCAACTGTGTGTGTTCGCCGAGATCCTTGCTAGATTCGGGATCACTATCTCAGTGGCAAAGACCCAACTGTTTAACCTGGCAGGGCGGAAGTTGTCAGGAAACCTCCCAGTCACTCAACTCGAAAGCTTTGCCTACCTCGGTTCCCAAATCGAGGCTATGGGCGGAACCGGAATTGAAGTTTCCAATCGTATAGGACACACCAAAAGGATCTTCGGTAGACTTAAACCTCTATTTATAAACTCTTCTTTAAGTGTCCTTTCGAAAAAGAAGCTTTTTACATCTACGGTTCTCCCTTCTCTCTTTTACGGAGCAGAAAGCTGGAGCACAGTTAAGCGAGACGAAGAGCGACTCGACGCTTTTGTTAACGCGTGTTTAAGGGCGATGTTAAATGTCCCCAAGGAGGCCCATACGAAGGTCGAGGTACTACGTACTCAGTACAAAATACCTTTCGCCAGAGACTTTATAGCTAAAAAACGACTGATTTGGTTTGGACGACAGGTGAGAGGGGAAACATCCTCTCTCTGTAAAATGTCAACCTCCAGTTCTGTCGAGTTAGTCAAAATTAGTTCTCGAGCGCGGTGTAGATGGGAAAACTTCCTAGATAAAGATCTAAAATGGCTTATCGTTAACAGTAGCCAAGCGATCGAGGGGTATGTTCTACTATCGAAGGCCAAGTGCAATTCGTTGGCTGATTTCGTAGAAATACGCTGACGGAAGACATGAGTATGAAACACTTCGAAAAGGACACCCGCACCCTGAGTAAGGTGCGGATTACAGGATCCATCACCTACGTTTCTTGCTCGCACCCGGGATGTGCAGTTACCTTTGCTAACGCGAAGAATATGAAGAAGCATTTA